TTCTTTTTTTTTTTTTTTTATAATCATTTTGGGTCATAAAACAAGAACTTAAGACGATTCCCATTTCATGTGCAATAGTTGACACCATCTGCATTAATTCGGGTGACCTGCCCTGAATCTCCTAAAATTTTATGGGCCCATAAAAAATGATCTAATGAATAATATTCATCGCTTCACCATGACCGTTTCTCATTTTTTGGCATTTCAGACCCACGAAAAAGGAATTCAATACGATTCTCAAATTTTCATGTGCCATAGTTGACGCCATCTGCATGAATTTGGGTGACTGTCCCCGAATATCCCAAAATTTTGTGGACCCAAAAAAATAACCTAATGAACAATAGTCATCGCTTCACCATGACCGCTCCTCGTTTTTGGCGTTTTAGGGCTATAAAATAGGAATTCGGGACAATTCCTAGATTTTTTTGTATAATAGTTCACGCCATCTGCATGAATTTGGGTGCCCATGAACCGTATCGCGTAAAATTTTCCCGACCCATCAAAAATTTCCTAAGGAACAATAGTCACCGCCTTGCCATGACCGTTACTCATTATCTGGCGTTTTAGGGCCAAAAATTGGAATTCCATTCAATTCCCAAATTATTGTGTGCTATAGCCCACGCCTTCAGCATGGGCCTGGGCGATCGAACCCGGATCGCCTAAATATTTCAGACTCATCAACAATGACCTAGGAAACAATAGTCACCGTCTTTCCATGACCGTTACTCGTTTGTTGGCGTGTTAAGACCATAAAATTGAAATTCATCCCAATTTCCCGATTTTCCTGTGCTATGTCCGATCGCCTAAAAGTTTACCGGCCTATCAAAAAAGACCTAAAGAACAATAGTCATTTCCCATTCATGACCGTTACTCATTTTCTGGCGTTTTAGGGCCATAAAACTAGAATTCCGCCCGATTCTTAAATTTTTGTGTACTATAACCAATGCTTTATGCATGGGCCAGGATGACCCGATTCAGATTGCTTAAAATTTTATCGGCCCTTAGAAAACTACCTAAGGAACAATAGTCATCGTCTCCTAAGGAACAATAATCACCGCCTCATCATGACCATTACTCATTTTTTGGCGTTTTAGTGCGATAAAACGAAACTTCCACTCGATTCCCAAATTTTCGTATTTTCGTATGCTATAGCCCACGCCTTCTGTATGGGGCTAGGCGACCGGGACCCAAATCGCCTAAAATATTATCGCCCATAAAAAATGACCTAAGGAATAATAGTCATAGCCGCCTAAGGAACAATAGCCACCGCCTCACCACGACCGTTAGTTGTTTTTTGGCATTTTTGGACCATAAAACTGAAATTCCGTCCGATTCCTAGAATTTCATGTACCATAGCCATCAACTTATGCATGGCCAAGGCAACCAGACCCGGATGGCCTAAAATTTTACCGGCCCATAAAAAATGACGTAAAGGAACAATAGTCACCGCCTCGCCATGACTGTTACTCAATTTTTGGCGTTTTAGTTAGGCCTGTTCATTTGGATCGGATATCCGAAATCCGAACAGATCCGCTCAATTTCGGATTTCAAATATTTGGATCGGATTTCAGATTGTGTTTATTAAAATTTCGGATATTCGGATCGGATTTGGATAGGTATAATTGTAACTTGATCCGATCCGAAATCTGAAATTATTAGGGCATTTATAAATGTTAAACTTTAATTTCAGATAGTTAGTACTTCCTTTACATCTTCCTCCAAGTTATTACCTTTACAATTACTGGATTTAGCTATATTGACACCATAGTACTCTCATAATTGAATAAATATGATTTTTTCTTACTGTATTGCCTCTTTTATACAGAAAATATATATATGAGTTTGCAACTTTGAGGCATAATAATCCGAATTCAAAAATTCGATCCGATCCAAACATTAAAATCCGATCCAATCCTTATTAATTCAGATCGGATTCGGATTGCGATTTGTAGAATCCGAAATCCGAATCCGAAATATTCTAAATCCAATCCAATCCGATCCAATCCATGCACAACCCTAGTTTTAGTGCTATAAAATTGGAATTCGGCCCAATTCTAAGGTTTCATGTGTAATAGCCCATGCCTTTATCATTAGTCCGAGCGACCGAACATAGATCGCCTAAAATGTTGCAGGCCCATAAAAATTTACTTAAGGAACAATAGCCACCACCTCACTATGACCGTTACTCGTTTTGGGCGTTATAAAGCCATAAAATTGGAATTCGTCCAGATTCTCAAATATCATGTGCTATAGCCCATGCCTTCAGCATGGGCCCGGGCAACAAGACTCGGATCGCCTAAAAATTTTCTAGCCCATCATAAATGACCTAAGAAACTATAGTCACCGTCTCGCTTTGACTGTTACTCACTTTTTGGCATTTTAGGACAATAAAATTGAAATTTCGCCCGATTCTCCGATTTTCGTGTGTTATAGCCCATGCCTTCTACATGGGTCTGGGTGGCCGGACCTGAATCGCCTATAAGTTTGCCGGCCCATAAGAAATTACCTAAGGAACAATAGTCACCACCTCACAATGACCGTTACTCCTTTTCTGCGTTTTAGGGCCATAAAACTGGAATTCCGCCTGATTCCTTGATTTTCGTGTGTTATAGCCCACGCATTCTATATGAGCCCAGACCCGGCTCGCCTAAATTTTTTTCAGCTCATCAAAAATGACCTAAGAAAAATAGTCATCGCCTCTCCATTACCGTTAGTCGTTTTTTGGCGTGTTAAGGCCATAAATTTAAAATTCTGCCTGATTCTCCTATTTTCGTGTGCTATAAACCACGCCTTGTGCATGGGGCCAGACGACCGAAGCGGATCACCTATAATTTTGCCGTCCTATCAAAAAATGACCTAAGGAACAATAGTCACCGCCTCTCCATGACTAGTACTCATTTTTTTTTTTTTGCATTTTAGGGCCAAAAAACTTAAACTTCGCTCGGTTCCCAGATTGTCGTGTGTTATAGCCCACACCTTCGGCATGGCCCGAGCGACCAGACCCAGCTCACCTAAAATTTTTCTGTCCCATCAAAAATGACTTAAGAAACAATATTCACCGCCTCGCCATGACCGTTACTCATTTTTTGACGTTTTAGGGCCTTAAAAGTGGAATTCCGCACAATTCACAGATTTTTGTTTGTTATAACTCACCTTTTGCATGGGCCCGGGTGATCGGACCCTGATCACTTAAAATATTTTTCGGCCCATAAAAATGGCCTAAGGAACAATATTCACCGCTTCGCCATGACCATTACTCGTTTTCTTTGGTATTTTAGGCCATAAAACTGAAATTCCGTCCGATTTCCAGATTTTCATGTGCTATTGCCCACGCCTTCTGCATGGGCCCGCACGCCGGACCTGGATCGCCTAAAACATTTTTTGGCCCTTAAAAAATGACCTAAAGAACAATAGTCATCGCCTGCCATGACCGCAACTTATTTTTGGTTTTTTAGG